TACATTGGCGGCGGCAAGGTACTGTTCCATCTACCACAGGAAGTTGTCAAGCTCTCGTGCATTGCGGGTACCCGAATAGGGGGTTGGCTCCCTAATCTTAATGTGAGAGGGAGTATGTGTAAAGGAAGTACTGGTTGGATTAGCGACAACCCTCTTCAGGATTGCACATTCTGGTTTGAGCTCCTCTAATTGAGCTTGGGTGTCGGAGGAGGAATGGGCGGCTGACTTCATTGAGGCCCACTCCGCTCTCATTTCATCTAGTTGGGCCTGGACGGTCATTGATGTGGAGGTGCTTCTTCTCCACGCTACCCACTCGTTCTTCATCTCATCGAGCTGGGCTTGAAAACTATCAAGCCTGTCTTGGACCTGCGAGTTGGAGGAGCTTGCTTCTTGTTGGCGTGCAGTGTTGCAAATTTGCTTGAGCGTGCCATTGATTATGTCTCGGACCTCGTCAACGACTCCACTCAAGCGACCTTCAATCTCGACCAGTGTGTTGTCCATGGCTTCCATGTTTTGATGCAACTCGTCTATCGAGTCTCGCATCTCACCTACAGTGGCTTCACAACGTAGCATGCGCAACTCAACGGAAGCTTGCTTGTTGGAAGATTTCTCACGTTTGCTGGCCATCGGTTCCTTGTCCTTGCCGATGTCATCGGCGGGCGCATCATTGGCCTCATGGACTGTGGAGAGTTCATGCTCGATCTCCTCCACGATGTCCCTTTTGTGCTTCATGCTGTCACTCACGTCGCGGGTCGAATGGCTTAAAAAGAGCTCCTGCTCTGATACCAACTGTCACGGGGATAATCGTTGGGGCCCCGTGTGGCACTCGAAAGGGGCGAGTAAGCCTACGCAACAAAGCAAACACACACAAAAAGGCAACAAGAAGGAACACGGATTAGCGAAAGGCTATTTGTATTGTAATAATCAGTGGCAAGCACAAGCACACAGTACAGTGTCGAGGGGATCTTGTGCTTAACCTTTACACGCTTATGAGCTCACTTGACTACCTACCTCCCCTCAAAGAGTACGTTAAGCTTTTGGGGGAGTGACAATAAGAAACGTCAAAAAGATGAAAAAGCATACTACAATATTACARTATTGCCATTGGCAGTCCCCCATACAAAAGTACATGCTTAGCCCACCCATGGCACACACTTGGACACTGGAGTTGCGGCTGTAGGCACATTGGATGGCACTTGATGGTGCGTCGAAGAGAACACTTGTTACAGTTTGTTTGCTCATCGAAAAGCATGATCAATCTCTCTCTCTCTCTTTGTAAATAAAATTCAATTGAGTGATGATGGAGGTGCAAGGAATCGAATCCTGTGCCTCTTGCATGCGAAGCAAGCGCTCTACCATATGAGCTACACCCCCTATCTACTTAAGTGTAAGCCTAATTTCCCTTTTATTAATTATTCCTCAGGCTTTTTTACGAGTGACTTGCCTATCACAATTCACAAATAGCCCATTTCTTTGCCATGATACAAGTAGGGGTGTTCAGGGTCTGATTTGGTTCAGTTTAAATCTCAGACAAATTCAGTAAATTATGGTTTAAAAAATTCTCAAACCAAATCAAACCATTTTAGTATATAACCTAAATTAGTTTGGCCTGGTTTCTAATATGGTTTGGGCCATTCTATTGGGCTTAACCCAATTAGAAATCTTAATTAATGTGCAAACTTACATAAATAACAAATCTATATTATATATAAAAGTGTGGATGTAGGGTGAAAGTTTTTTGGACTAAAATTACCCTCTATTTTCTTGTCTAAGAGAGGGTATAAAAGTCATTTTGTTATACTTTTAATGCTAGCTTTAATGGCTACTAAAATGCCATATTTGTGTATTTAGTCCATCTCTAATTGAAGGGTTAAAATGTAACTTCAATTATTACTTTCCACCTCATTTAATCCCCCTCTCATTAACTCCATGGTTTAAAGTATCGATACGATACACCCCGTATCGGGCATATCGTATCATATCATTTGAAAAAGATACACTCCTAAACACCTTCGGAACCCCACCTTTTTTTAATAAAAAAATTATTTTTAGCTTTCCAAAAAACCAAAATTTGAAAAAAAACTAAAAAAAAAGAGTTTCATGTGTTTCTAAGTACCGATACGCATATCGTATCGATACTTTGAACCTTGATTAACTCTTATACTTAAGGAATTAGTTCCCATTTTCTCTTTTTAGATCCTATATTTAAGTTATTTTTTACTAATAATTGCTACTACTTAGATCTATGTCAATATTTTTAACAATATAAACCTATATATTTTAAAACTGACTTAAAAACAAAAACCATTCTTTATCCAAGTGCTCGCTAAGAAATTCAACCATCTAAACTGAATTAATCAACCTATGAAGTCATAGTTAGGTAATACAATTTTTAAAATAGAAATAAATATAGAAACTTACAAAAATGTAGAAAAAATTAGACACATTTATGATATTTTAATTAATCAAATTAAAAAATATGTGTAATAAATAAGAATTATTTTTATTGATGATGAAAATGATATACATAATTTAGAACTGACCAAAAATAAAACTATTTTACTGGTTGGCAAAGATCAATAATTCAACTTTTGGGTCAAATGTGTTAATATTTAATGTCATAAATAAATAAATAATAAAATATAAAAATACAAAAATGAAAATTTTCAAAATAAAATCAAGCACATGTATAATATCATATACTTATCATACTAAATAAAAAGTAAGTGTAGCATATTAGAATTATTTTTACACACAGAAATACAAAAAAAAAATATAAAAAAATCAAACACATCTATAATTCTATATTTACACTACTATTAAAAATATGAATATGATTATAGAACTTTCTTTGAATTAAAATACTCATTTTTGAATTTAGTCCCTATTTGGTTGTGAGGTTTAAATTGTGAATTGAAGTACTACTTTTCACTTCATTCAATTCTCTCTACTTAAATCTTACAATTTTTTTGATAAATAAACAAAAAAAAAGATACACAAAAAAGATAAAAACATTACAAAAAGAAGAGTTTAGCCAAGAAGTAGACTTGTCAATGATACTTGAAACTTCACAATTTGATCCGATTATCACATATTTGGATGAGGTGTTTATGTGATCAGATTTGGACTTGGTAATCTGCATTATCTAGAATTGTCACATGCAAAGCACATGCATACTTACTAGTATAAATTAAATATCAAATTGAAATGTTAACAAGCTTCACTTATTCCTATAATATAAATTGCATTCACTGATTCACACATTCTCAAACATAAACAACTTATTGGCCATCAAATTACAAGTTGAAGATTGAAACAAACGCCAATTATGTGTGCAATGTTAAATGAATATATACATACATATGTATTATATATTAGATACTTTAATAAATATATTATTAATAATTTGATATAATACGGTTTATGATTTGGTCTGACTTCTAAAATTAAAAAAACCAAACCAAATAAAAAAGATTACGGTTTGAGGAATTCTCAAACCAAACCATTTTAATGCCAAACCATACCAAACCGCTAATCATGATTTGGTTCGATGCGGTCTTGACCATATAATGAACACCCCTAGGTACATGGATTTCCATGCACAGGATCAAGGAAAACATTTGTTACCCTTTTATTGAATGTTTTTGTTTTCATTTGTTCATGAAACTATCACATCAACAAAAAAAAAAAAAAACAAATTACATTTTTGAAATTATGTTTTAATTTTGAAAAGAAAAAGTATCTCATGATCAGTTATCAAAATAATAAATTTTTAAAATAGAAAAGGAATTTTATAGACATGATTAATTGAATGTGATACCAAATAACTAGATGAACAAGTATTTAAAACTAGAAATTCAAGAATGCATTTTGGTTTCAAAGTTTCAATTTTGAAAACAAAAAGAAATGTAGTTAAGAACATGTCTTACTATATTTTTGTTTAGAAAACCAATTTGTTTTCAAATCAGATGCTTTGATTTGTTTTTGTGACTCTCAACAAGAAAAACAATTCACATTGGATGACCCTCTTAGTAAATTGAACAACAATATCATCTTCATCCAATGGCTCAAGACCCAATGAAGGCTTACATATATATATGGATGACCTAAAATCACTCCAACCTGACCCAGCTAAATGAAATGGGATATAAACTTGATATGACTTTCCTCGCAAATGGTACTCAACCAACTCTATATGTACAAATGATTCAATACTACAACATTAGTGGATTGGGTCGTGGGCTTGACTTAACCCAAACCCAACCGAAACACACGTGGGTTTACCACTTGATCTGACTCACTGATATCCCTAGCTTCAACTACATATTCTAAGCAGGCCCACCAGGGTATGCCTATAAAGAGGACCTGCATTCTTTTTTTTTTTTATAACAGGGGACCTACATTTAGGTTATGTTTGGTTTGAAGGAAAAGGTAGGGAAAGGAAGGGAAAGACAGGAAAACCTATACAAGGTTTGTAAAGGTTTCCCTACCTTTCCCTGCATTTTCCTTCAAACCAAACATAGACTTAGTGGATTTTCATTATACTTTAAATAAATAATCATAAAACTGTATAATTTATTAATATTGATCATTGAACCTATCAGTTACATTGGGATTGCTGAGAATAACTCAACAAAAATTTACCCATATCAAATGGCAGTGTCACCTTTCTTAGAAAAGTATAGGGACAAAATCATCCAAAGCTGATTAGAACAATTCTGAATAGGTTTATCTAGACCAAATCTACTATCCAACTTACTAGTTTCAAACTTCACTTGGGTTGGTGAGAAAAATTCAGCAAAGGTTAACCAGATCGAATGGCAGTGCTAAGTTAATCACCCATAGAACGTACAAGCTTTTTCATACCTTGAAAGAATTTTAATATGGTCCAATAAAAGCTCTCATATAGTGTTGCATGGACACAGGAACAAGAGCCAGAATCCGATGCCCCTCTAAAGAATACACTACTAAAATAGTTCATATTTTTTGAATTCTCTTGCAAAAGAAAAAAATGTTGCCTTTGTTATCAAACGTTTGGTATGAAAAATGACATTCATTTTATACATTATCTGTTCATTTGTCAAATAATAAAAATGAAATGTCACATAGAAGTGTCCGCAAGTATCCATGGAACTATCCCAGATGGACACGAATCCATTTAGGAGAGTCTGCAATGTCTCATCCCAATGGTACCAAAGAGGCATTCCCTACTTTTCACTTTTCAAAATCCCACTTCTGATATATCAAACAGGTTCATAGAGGCCCAACATGTGCCCATCAATGCACCTCATGGCTGCCACCTGCAAGTCCAAGGGGCCATAAGATTCTGTTACATATCAAACTTGAAATGATGCTTATAAGACGGGGATTATACCTTGCCATGGATCTCATATTTGATTGGACCATCCAGCTCAGCTCCTAATGCAATTAACTTTGTCACTGTGCTGTTAATGTCTGAGACCGTAAAGGATAGAAGTGAAGAGTATCCCTTTTGCACAACATGGTCACTGTGATGCTAGAGTTAGCTACTAAATCAATCACAGCAAAACCACAACTGCAGATAATGAAATCATCACTCTATGAAGTCCGTGTCATACATGTAACATGTTACTGATAAATTCCCAAGAAATCTTCTGCAAAAACTGGGCAGATAAGAGTCCTTATCCATCTCTTAGTGAATTCCCAAGAAAGACGACCCAACTCATGCATATTATAATCAACAAAATAGAAAGATGATTGGTGGTGAGAAGTCCATCAGTCCATCTACCTCTTCCCTTCTCTCTAGTTATGAACTATTTTTAAGAGTCATGTTGAAAACCCTATCTTATCAAATCATGAAGGTAAGATTACCTGCTCAATAGGCTTGCAATGGCTAACAAAAAAAGGTCCAAATTGTTAACAACATATGCAATATTCTAACAATACAACACGTGGTCAGTGCTCTGCAAAAGTATAGAAAATAGAATGCTAAGGTAGTTAAGAGGAATTCATAATTCCTAGTTCTCAAACAGCTTCCTGAGTCCTGTTTCAGGCTGTTTTACCACATATGGCACTGAACCATACATCAGAAAGTATACACTAAAAAACTAGAGTTCCTTAATGAAAATGGTCTAGATATGACAGTTATAGCCATATGAGAATTTTAACCATCACATATTTTTCTTCGAAAAAAACCAGGTAGGTAATGTGGCCAATACCACTATAACATATATAATTCATAGACATTGCAGAGAGCCATTCACCATTGTTTTCCTTATTATATGGATGATCACGATGAACTAATTGAGTTAATAATAAAATAGGGCCAGAAGATAACCTACCATCAAGATGGATATGTTGCACCTTGGCTTCTCTATGGAATATGGGAGGCTACAAATGCAGGGATATTTGAATCAAGGCCCCATTCAGTCCCTTGTAGCACATGAAATCATTAGCAAAGGCCAATGTCAGCATTAAAATAGTTCTGCTTAACATTTTTTTTTAAGGTAAATAAAATTTTTTTATTAAAAACAAAACAGAAAGTACAAGAAAGGTGATCAGCAGTTACCCAAGTCCTCCCCAACCTGACTCCGAACTTTAACACTCCATTGACAACAAACCTAGAAAACAAATTCCCCTCTTCTACCATCAAACCTAATTGAGAAACAAAGACAACCCCAACCCCGATTCCTACCGATCATTAAACCACTGCCACCCCTTGACAAACTATAAAAACCAAGCTTAAAATAGAAAAGATACCATCATAACAAAAGAAACTCAACTCCACCACTTGGTCCTATCAACAACTTGAATGGAAGTCTATCTACTTCTCTTGGAGCATTTCTTCGATTTCTTCACCTTCTTGATAGGAGTCACACCAAATAAGCTCCCTTTCAGCCTGGCGAAAGCTTTCGAAAACTGCACTGATCGAGTATTTTTCTGCTTTCTGAAATGCCCTTTTCTCAATATCTCTAAACTTCTTAGGACTTGCATTGATTCTCTCCAGCTCCAGAACCACATTCTTCTTAAAGATCAGCTCTGCCCTCTTTGATTTTGAGCTCTGACAACCCTTGAACTTTGCCAAGAAAGCACTTTAGACCTTAAAGAATTAAAAGGGCCATTTTCACTGTTGTGGACGCGTTCGTTGGGAAGAAGCACCGCCGGCAGAAGCAGTGATGAGGTGTCCTCATCAGATTATCTAGCTAGTCACAGTTCATCTTATCTATCTTATCTTATCTTATTTGTTCCTTACCTTATCTATTCCAATAAGGATTAGTAGAAGATTAGTAGGAGTCTGATTTATCTTAGGGAGTCTTATCCTTCTTAAGTTAGGAGTCTTATCTGTAAGCAGTCGAATTCAACAAGGAGTCTTCCTACAAGGAGGACTCTACCTCTTGTAATCTCCTATTTAAGGAGCTGCGATTATGGAATAAAGCATTCAATTCAGTCGAGAAAGAAAGTAAGGGAGAGTTAGGGTGATCTCTTGAACAAATCACCCCCTTTAGGTCGCCACGATAGGGTCTGCACGAAAAGGGAGGGGCAAAGGGAAACTAGAGGTTCTCCCCGTGGACCGACCCGTGACGAGATCCTATTCCCGGGCCCATAACTTTTTGGTATCAGAGCCAAACGTCATGGGCGATCTAGAGCAGCTGACGTCCAGGGTCCACGAATTGGAGCACTGGCTCGTGGAGAACAACGCAGAGGTATGTGAAGTCAAGGACGATGTCCAAGAGCTACGATGCTTGCTGGAGTCGTATTTCTCTAACAAGGAGAAGAGCCCCAAAGGAACTGCAACCACCAACAGCCGCCGACCAGATTTGGCGGAATCATCCGGCAAACAACAGATCGTCGCCCCGGCAGCCACTGTTGTCCCCAAGTACAGTAGGCTGGAGTTCCCTTCGTACAACAGCAGCGGAGATCCACTGGGATGGCTATACCGTTGTGAACAATTCTTTTGCAATCAGCATACGAAAGACAAGAGATAAGGTCAGTCTGGCTGCATTCCATCTAACGGAAGAAGCACAACTCTGGTTCTACCGAGTGGAGCAGGAGGAACCCGGGCTTAGCTGGGGCCAATTTAAGTCCTACTGCCTCCTCAGGTTCGGGCCCCCATTGACGAGCAACCCGCTAGGTGAATTGATCAACCTCAAGCAGACAGGCACCGTGGCGGAATACCAGCGCCAATTTTAGACCCTCCTTGCCAGAGCAGCCTCGGTACGACCGGATCAGCAAGTAGACATGTTCACTGTCGGATTAGCTGAACCCCTGAGGGTGGATGTGGAGATGTAACATCCTCCCAACCTGGTCACTGCCATGAACCTAGCTCGCGCCTTCGAACGTAAGCTACAGCTCAGCCGCGAGACCTTCAGTATGGGTCGACCGACGACATCATGGACACCCCCGAAGTCAACTGGGGTGGCCCCTTCTTCGGCAACCAGCAGGGAACAAAAACTTCACCCAAGTATCATTCCCAGGTCGGCATCAAGCACAGGAAGCAGCATGACGACACCCCCCATCAAACGTTTATCCAGAGCCGAGATGGCAGATCGCTGGGCAAGGGGGCAATGCTTCAACTGCGATGAGCTATATTCGGCGAGGCACAGATGCAAGAGGCTATTCTACCTTCTGGTAGATGAACAGGAGGAAGACGAGGATGGATCTGCAGCATTAGAACCCGAGATCTCCCTCCACGCAATCACCGGAATAAAGACCTCCCAAACTATGCAATTGTGGGCGCAGGTGGCAGGGAAACCAGTACGTATCCTCATAGATTCGGGAAGCACGAACAATTTTGTAAGTGAGCAAGTTGCCCTTTAGCTGAAACTACCCATGGGAATCAGACCGCAACTGCAGGTAGCCGTTGCAAACGGAGAGAGGGTTCACAGCCCCGGAATTTGTAAGAACATCCAAATACAGGTTGAATCCGAACCCTTCTCTGCCGATTTATTTGTGCTACCCTTGGATGAATTTGATATAGTACTTGGAGTTAAATGGTTGATCACCCTAGGCCCTATCCTATGGGATTTCAGTGCCCTAACAATGTCAATCCGCCTGAATGGAAAACAAGTTACTTGGCAGGGAACCAGAGTAAAGGCAAAAAAACCGTAGGTACATACACTTCAAGGCGAAACTATGCACACAGCAGATATGGAAAGACTCCTCACCGACTTCTCAAATATATTCCAAGAACCCAAGGAACTTCCACCCGCCCGAGCTTGTGACCATCGGATCCCTTTGATAACGGGTTCAGAGCCGGTCGTCGTCCGGTCGTATCGCTACCCACATCTGCAGAAGGACGAGATAGAGAAGTAGTGTACGGACATGATGAAACAAGGAATCATCTGTCTTAGCCGCTCCCCCTTCTCCTCGCCGGTTTTATTGGTGCCAAAGCAAGACGGAACTTAGAGATTTTGTGTGGACTACAGAGAGCTCAATAACAGAACCGTCAAGGATAAATTCCCTATCCCCGTGGTGGACAAACTGTGGGATGAACTCCATGTAGCTCAATACTTCTCGAAACTGGACTTCAAATCAGGATATTTTCAGGTCCAGATGGCCCCCGAGGATGTGGAGAAAACAACCTTCCGAATGCATCATGGTCACTTTGAATTTCTAGTTATGTTGTTCGGTCTCACCAACGCCCCATCCACATTCCAGTCTCTGATGAACGAGGTATTTCAGTCCCACCTTTGCAAATTCGTCTTATTGTTCTTTGACGACATCCTCGTCTACAGTAAATCAAGGATAGAACGCGTGCATCATCTACAGACTATTCTTGAACTTTTGCACCAACACAAGCTCTTCCTAAAGCGGTCCAAATGTTCTTTTGGAGAGCACCAGGTTCTTTATCTGGGACATATAATTAGTGGGCAAGGTGTCACGGTGGATGATTCCAAAATTCAAGCAATCCAGGAATGGCCCAAACCTCAATCCGCCAAGGCTCTTCGCGAGTTCCTAGGACTGACAGGATACTACCGCAAGTTTGTACAAAATTATGGACTATTGGCTGCCCCATTAACCAATATGCTAAAGAAGAATGCCTTCCAGTGGGATGACGCAGCCGACACCGCCTTTGCAAACTTAAGGGATGCCCTCTCCTCCACATCAGTTCTGCAGTTGCCGAATTTTGACCTAGAATTTACGATCGAATGTGATGCATCTGGTGTAGGTATTGGAGCCGCATTGCAGCAGCAAGGACACCCAATTGCCTTCTTTAGCCGCAAACTGGCGGACCGACATCTAAAATTACCCGCCTACGAGCGCGAATTGATTGCGTTAGCTGAAGCAATGCAACACTGGAGGCCATACTTGTGGGGAAGGTCCTTCGTCGTCAAGACTGATCACTACAACCTCAAGTATCTGTTGGAGCAGCGGCTTACGACTCTGCCTCAACAACATTGGGCTAGCAAACTACTCGGGTTTGATTTCCGGGTAGATTACAAGGCGGGATCCCTAAATCGGGCTGCAGATGCCTTGTCCAGACGTGACGAAGATGCTATGCTCCTTTGTGCGATTTCACGGCCCCGAG